GGTGGCTCCGGCGAGGTGGCCCCAACACTATTACTCTGGTTAGCACAAGAGGAGCACAGATTGTCAGCAAATAGAGCGTCCTTTTCCCAGCTGCCATGGAGAGCTCCTTCAGTTCAGGCCACTCGTTTGACATGCCTAAGCTCTCTGCTCTTCTTATTGAACTTTTCTCTCCACATCACAGGGATCCCTTGCGCTCGTCCTTTCATCCTCAGACTTAAACATCTCATCGCTAATTTATTTTGCTGCTGAGGACTTTCTGGTCTCCTCTGTCCCTTTCCCCAGGTTAGGTCTCCAAGCTCCAGCCACACTTCTGAGGTGTTTCTACACCTAACAAGTTTATCTTATTTCTCCTCTGGGAGACAGGTAAGCAATGCTAACAGCAAAGAGTAGATTCAGATGGATTCAGGCATTCGTGATATGGCCATTTCCTACAGAGTAATTTCCCTGGTTGTCACGAAAACATTACCTTCCCTGTAAGATTTAAAAATAGAAAGGATAAATAGGATACATGTATCCAATATAATTAAGCACAGTCATCCTTGAAAAAGTAAATACATGGAATTAAATGTCCTGGCAGCTGTATGTGAAGCTCTCCAGCAAAACTTGACAGCTCTTCAAGAAACAAATATGAAAACCACACTATAAAACACTACATGCATTATTATTAGTGTCTTTAATAACAGTACAAATATTAAAGTGCCATATTGTTTACAACACAAAATTAAGAATTTTAATTTTAATCAGTCCTGTTTACCCAGCAACCTTCTGATTAGCAGTCAGAGTTGATTGAACAGTGGAGGAAAAAAAGAAAGCCCTCGCAAGATACGCCACACAAAAGGCTTTAGCATGAGTCAACAAGCAGAAGGGGCAGAATTACACAGCAGACTAGAGAACACATCCACGTCTGTGGCAAAACAAGGCACAACTTATGGCACTGAAGTGATGATTTGAATGTATTTAGCTGCCTCTCCTTTGGTGCAGAGAGCCCTTCTGAATATTTGCATGACAGAGTTGAAATATCCATTAGCTTAAAACAATGAAGGAATGGGGAGGTAGAGAACATGGGGTAAGAAATCCCAGGAAACCATAAGCGATTGCTTCTTTATTATGCATATTTTGCTGCTGGAGCACATTATTCTCTTCCTCCTTAGGGCACTGTTTGTTAAGAGCACAGTAAATAATGTCAACAACTAAAAATTCAGCACATAAAGCTTGATTTTTTTTTTTCCTCTCGTAGTTGGATGAGAGGGACCACATGATGGGGCCCAGATTTTCCACCATAAACCTCAGAGCCTGGCAGAAAGAAGCAGCATCTTCCCCTTCCAGCCCCTGCACCTCAACTCCTCCTAAATCCCAATAAAATAAAAAAGTGGGTAGAGATGCAAAACAAATCACTGTAACTCCTGTCAATCACAGGATCACTGTCCTCCACCACATGTATCTCTGCTTTAAGTGCTGCCCTTGTGCGACAGTGCACTGGCCACCACCACCCTCCTCCTGGATGCCACGTCCTTATGCTGCAGTTACGAAACATGTCCGAAACGCTGGGAACAGGGGAGCAGCTCCAGGGAACAGGCAGCTGCAATGAAGCGCCTGCTCCAGCACCATCCAGCACCGTGCTCTTCCCTGCTTTGATTAACCGTGTGCTTCGTTAAAGCTCTCACTGCCGTTTAACAACAGAGCTGCGAATGCCAGGAAGACGCTGGTGTTTCTGGAGGAGGCAGAGACAGTTCCCAAGTGCTTTTTTTCTCCTCTGTCCCTCCTTTCCTTCAAGGTACAGAAAGGTGAGTGAGGTGTAAAAGGAAAGACATGTAGATTTAAAGATTTTGCACAGCACCTTCTAAGGCAATCTGCTCTATTTAATGCTTTTCCATGGCTGAAGTTAAAAACATGGAGCAGAAGCAGGCTATGTACTTGAAAAGACATTTTACCTCTTTCTCTTCAAGTCACGAAGAGAACTTCACATGGAATAAACATGGGTTTTAAGGGAAGGGAGAGAGGAAGAGCCGGTACCTCACACTTTTACTTGTGCACCCAAAGAGCTTCTAATTACCAGTGTTATTGCAGCCTATCTTGGAAATCAGAACAATTGTACTGGTCACAACATATTTGTTATGCTTGTGAAAATATTCCTAATTTGCAAAGCAATAAAACACTCAGTGATCAGTTCCAAAGGTGAAGACTGTTCTCATTCAATGTAATGGCCTGTGAAACCACTTAAACAAAATTTATATAAAATAAGATTGTTGGTTTCTTGGGTTCTCCAACAGGGGAATATTTAGACTGAAAATAATCTAACAATGGCAGGATTTAATCGTTAAGACAGAATCGTATTGAACCGGATCAGATCTCCACATTGACTTGAATGTCTTTCCTCCCTTTGGACCACGCCACTGGAGTAACCCTGACAGGGCTGCTGGAGCCTCCCCGCAGCTTCCTCTCATATGCTTGCGGACACCCTCTGCAGCCACCAGAGGTGCTTTACCACAAACGCTGTGGTGGCCGCCATGGAGATCAGGGTCACCATTTGAGTGATAGCAACAGGTTGAAGAAATGGCCTGGTGGAAACAGTAAACTACAAGACAAATCCTGCACTGCAAACAGAGAAACTCCCTGTAGTACTGACTGGGTAAGGAGCAGTGCTGTTGTAAAGGATCTGGAGGTCCAGATGGACAAGCAACTGAGCATGAGGCAGCAGGTCATCCACAGTGATTGTGACCCGTCTACAATGCTCTTCTAAGACCACATCTGGTGTGTGGTCACCTTTGGGCTCTCCTCAGTGGCGAGGGGGTGGGTACAAGGGCGCAGGGTTTGTATGGCCTGGAACCACCTGCCGACTTCAGCTACCCAAGGGGTGGCTGCAGAGCCGAGAGCCAGGCTCGTTTCACACATGCATAGCATAGGGAGCAGAGGCAACGGCAGCAAGTTGTGGCCATGGACATTGTAATTGCATGGGGAAAAAAAAAAAAAAAAAAGGCAAGCAAACAAGAACATCCACAGAAAGCGTGGTCAAGTTTTGCATCAGGTGACCAAAAGGGTGGCGGAATCTCTATTCTTGGAGATACTCAAAATGCAGCTGAACAGGGCCCAGCCAGATCTAACTAATTTCCTCTAGTCATTGACATCGTTATTCTTCATCAGGAAGTCAAAGTGCCACCTCCTGAGCAATACAGGAAAAGAAGCCGAAGCCTATCTAGATTGCTAGTTGTGTAAAACGGACAAAGGTCAAGCTTTTCTGCAAGGTGCACTCTAAAGTATTCACATACTCTCAAAAGTGAGTGTAGGCTTCCCCCCCTCCCCTTCCACAAAGCTACCCTGGAAATCAGAGCACGCTTACCAGCCTCAACTCTGAAAGCTCACATTCATGGTCCTGTCAGACAAAAAACAGTGATTGGAAGAAGTCTAAAGTCCTACCACATTCTGCAATACTGCTCTTCTGTTGCACAGATACAGAAAATTGCCTGAAAAAAATCATTATAACAATTACTGCATTCCTAAATGAAAAACATCTGGACTTTAGTTCAAGAAAACCTGAATTTTCACGCACATTATACATTCCCATTATCCAGGCTCTTGCATAAAAATACTTAAAGTCAGATGTATGCATGGTGGTTCTGGTTAAATCTGAACTTAGACCGTCAATTAGACTGGAAAAAAAGAGCAATTTTGCTGCCAAACCAAGAATTTTTCTTCATCTCCCCTCTGTCCCCATTGTCAAGTCAATATAACTCAAAATGCTTCCAACTTATTAATTCAGATTAAAGAAAAAAATGTGTATAACCTGCTTCAGTGACATTTTATTAAAATAATTTTTCAGGTTTCACCCTCCCCCTCCATATATGCACAAATTTCTCCTTCTGACAATAAGCCATAGACCAATTGTGAGTTGGAAACAGTTGTAGGGAAGAAAAAAAGAGTCAGAAATTACTAACGGACACATCTTACAATACATTACAACTCTCCCTTTAGTAGCCAAGTGGTTCATGAACATTATACTTTATGTAATATCACAAATGCACAAAATATGCTTTGCATATGATTGCAAAAACAGCAGCACTCTGGAGCCAAGCACATGGTTTAATATTATAATAATGAGTCTACTTTAACATAGTGGATTTTAATAAGACTTTAATAAGACTGGTATGATGCCAAATTACATAATGTCCCAAAATATGAAACAAAGATTTTACAGAGAAAATAAAAGCTCATTGATGTATAACCACTCTTAAAAAACTCCCAGCGTTATCTAAACAAAGCCATTAGGCATATTTAATTTAAAAAAATCAAATTAGAGAAAAGGAACTCAAATCTATTCCCAGATCTCAAAATAAAATTAAAAAGGATATTATTTTAGGCAACATTTATGAAAATGAAGGTACTACGCCAGCACTGGGAAACAACTAACACCATAATTGTGTCTTTTGGCATGGATTTGGATTGAGTATCTCCAATTTCACTCAAAGGACAAGAAGTGATTCAGTTTCCTTACAGGTTAATTTTAAAACTGAACTATGCTGGATTGTCTAGAAGCAACTTAGACCAATAAATTAATTTACCACTACAGATGAAAATCAAATCCCAATAGGAGCCTAGGTAAAGGGCCAAATGATTTACTCTCTAAACCCACTCCCCTCTGGGGGTCCTGGGAAAAGCAAAGAATTGAAAGTTCCTGTACAACTAGGCCTGACATGAAAAACCCTGAACAATTTTCTCTCTACCCACTCCCCGTATATGACAATGTTAGATAGCAATTAAAAGAAAAAGCACTATTCCATTTGTTGGATAGCAAATGCACAGTAGAGCAAATTGGTTAATCTGCATAATCTCTTAAAATATTAGTGTTATGCTATCTTGAAGATTAGTATCGACACAGGTCTATACTTTAAAAGCAGTTTTCATAAAGGCATTAGAACATTTTAAGTAGATTTAGATTTCACATGACAAGATGAGGTGGTGATGGCGAGAAGAGGGAGTGTGGAAGGGCATTTTAGACCTTATAATTCTTAGAAGTCTACTTTAGCTGTAGAAGCCATTAAAAAGTTGCAAATAACTTCAAGATGAAAGGCAATAGCAGCTCTTTAGAAAAGGATAATCACAGTCTTCTACAGATTTAATGAGACTTAATTCAGAGAAGCTTTTGACTTGGTCTGCTGTTAATTGAATCAAAGTCAATGGTGATCTTGTTACACTTCGGCTTGAATTCCCTAAAAATAAAGAAAAACAGATATTAGCAAGTGGTTAAAACATTTTGCTTGCTTTGGCTACAGCTATATTTCTGAAGGGGAAAGAAAAAAAAAAAACAGTTCTTTGGATTCACATAGTTTTCATCTCTATGGGAGCCAATTATAGTGCACCACACAGAGAAACCTGGACAAGAAAGACTAAGACAAAAAAGACACATGGGGAGGTTTAGCCTGTACATTCTTCGACTACTGGAGTACATAAATTACCCAGGAGTCAAAGGACTTTTAACAACTTAACTGCAGGTGGTGGCATCATGTTACCAGGGCTAAAATTTTTGTTAAAAAAATATTTATACACATATATTTTTGATCACTTTTCTTCCTGCCAAGTTTTCAAATAACGCTTCCATTGTTTGCTTTGCTTTATTTTAATTTTTTTCTTTGCTATGGGAATAGATCACATTATGCATCATACTGGGAAAAAGCCAAACTAGTTAAGAGGGAATCATTTAAAAATTTTAACTTTAGAACTCTAAAATTAATACTGCCACAAAATGTTTCCTTTTGTTATCATTAGAGCATCTGCTACAGCAATTAGCAAGGAAGGTATTTGGGGACTGAGCATATATTTTATAGTCTTCTAGTAAACAAAGGATTATGCAAATAGTGTGGATTTAGTGCCTAATTAAGCTCTGCAATTCAGTTCAAGAGATTCATTAAGTACCACCTACATCCTAAATAATCAATACAAGAATGAATAACAATCAACACAGAAAAACACATGCTGGTGACCACAGAAGCTATGAAGGATTAAGACATACATTTTGTCCATAACAGCAGTCTGAAACACTTCTCATCCTGGAAAACTTCTAGGATTTGACTTTCAACACAATAATTTATGCTCCTTAGCCATACAGATTTAATAGAAAAGGAAATAGACTGAGGACTAAAATTGAATTTCAAGTGCTACTGTACATGTTCATGGATATTTCTTAGCCCAGTAGGTACCTTTCATCCTAAAATTTCATCTGTCAGAATTGCTATGTTTGCAAATTTTTAGAAGCCTTTTTTATTAATATTGTATTTTTTTTTTAAAGTTGCAAAGCCTCCCTGACTGCGTAATTAGCTTCACCCACAGCATGTTATTGCTATCAAACTAGCTGCTGAACAGATTGTCTTTAGGTATCTTTGTCAGTGTCTTTAAAAACCTATTCTTCAAACATTTTTCAGTTTCTCATTACCTCAAGGCCAAGTTCTATCTTTTTCCCCAGAAAAAAAAAAGAGCTAACCAAAAAAAAAAAACCAACAAAAAAAACATAATAAATGATGGGTGGCTGGCTTGAGACCTGCCCAAATTGGCTGCAACAAGCATATTAAATATTGAGTTAGGACCAGGTAATCTACACAAATGAACTGGTCATTTCAGTCCAGCTCGTAGTATAATCCAGATTGGAAGGAACCTCACAAGGTCCTGCAACCCCCTGCGCAAAGCAGGGTCAGCTCTAACTCTCAGGTACAACGTAACCAACAACGAGCACACTCACAGTTTCACGGGCAGTCTCCAAAGAAAGTCCAGGAACGAAATGAATATTTCAAGTGGACTATTATCTCATACAGACGTTATCAAATTGAACTCTTAACTATAAACAAGGCACAGACAGAGCAAAAGCCTCATAATTGATTATCTTTGCAGGCACTCGAGAACAAAACACTGTGCAGTGCAGAGAAGAAAAAACACTACCCTAAAGTTGGCAACTCGCACCCAATTTTCTTCCTTTCCAAAACAAAAATAAAGCTAATCAAAAGTTCTCTTACCTATATATAATTCCAGCTAAATCAAACATGCGTCGTGCAGCTGTCATTTCAGTAGTGTCATGATACTTGTCTGACATAAAAATAACTTCTTTTATGCCTAGGAAAGTCATATAGGAAAAACTGGCTAGAATTAACAGCGAAAAAAGTTATATAAAATCTTTAAATCAGAAAAGACAGCACTCATCTACACGCTCTAAAACTCTTTGGCACACCCCTTCTTCCCCAAATATTAAAGATTGCACTTGAGGATAAATTCACCTAAGATTGAGCTGTTTTGGAAAACCATTCCCTGAAAAACATTGGAATATGTTTGTCCCCCAGCTTTCACTGAAGTTTTGCTCAGGAAATCAGAAACAAAATCTTGCAGCCAAAAAAACAAGACAAGCAAAATAGTTTTGGGGGAAAAAAAAGTGTAATTTCTAGTCTAGTAGAAACTTTCTTTTCCACCTTTTTAATATAACTTAAATCGGGTTTCCTCCCCCAAAAAACCATAAACACCACGTGCCATTCTTTTTCCAAATGTATAGCTATAAAAAAATTTGTTCTTTTTTCTTTTGGTTCCGTTTTATAAATAACTCTTGCTCTCAAGTTCCTATCCTCACAAAAGCATGCTGCCTCCAACCACTGAACAATCTAGGCCCAAACTGATGATTCCCGTCCTGTTTAAGCAGGGAGAAAGTATAAGGGCTGACCCAAGAAAAGTTAAGAGTTTCAAGGCTACAACATTTTACAGTATTTACCAGACAACACAAATGTCAATACACCACTATTTACTGCCAGTGTGGTATTACACTGGGAACAAGTAGCAAATCTACCTTGAAGACCATTTGATTTTGACTCTAAAGAACAGAAGCTTAGCACAAATGCAGAGTATTAGTCCTTCCCCTTCAATCCCTCAAAGAAGCCTTCTCTCCGATACTTTTCTTTCTTCCTAGATTCCTGTGACCATCAGCGGGAAAAGAAACTTTCAAGATAGTGATTCTTCCTAGGATTGCAAAATCTTACTTAGAAAGCAAAACAGATGCTATCTTAAGCAGAGAGTTTTATGGAACCAAAGCTTACTGTAAGCGTAATCTGAAAAAGGCGACACATTTAGGCCAGCACACTTGCAGTGGCACAGATTTATAACAATTGTAATGAAACACATAATTAAAGTGGGATCGTATAAGTCTTATGACATTTATGAGCAAAGATATTTTAAAATCTTCAAATATCTACCATGCATCACATTCAAATTAAAATTTCATGTATACTCCCAACAGACCTTTTGTCATGCAGAAGTTTATTTCTTTCTGCCCTACTCTATTCAAAGTGTCAGAGCACAGTAAAATTGACAGTAATTATATGCAAAGCCTGTGTTGTTCTTTGGCAGCTCCTGGTCTAAGAAGTTACAAACCTAAATTAGAAGCACGCTTAGAATCACAGAAGATGCAATTAGCACTCGAAAAATTTGGCACCATTCAGATGCAAGAAAAAAAAACCCACAAGTAGCATCCCATGAAGTTGACAATGCAATTAATTTAGATCTTACAGCAGCAATTTAACATCAAATACATCTGTGATAAGATACCAACAAGCAGGCAGCACTGCAACCTTGACAAATCAAGCTGGCACTACTCCTTACCTGCCTGGATGATGAGTTTTGCACATTCATTACATGGAAATAAGGCAACATACATGCTGCAGCCTTTCACATCAGCTGAGTTTTTGTTCATGATGGCATTCAATTCAGCATGGCACACTAATTAGAAAAAAAACATATAATATTGTTCATTAAATCAGTCAAACCAAAATTGAAATGTTATAACTGCTTACGTCCTGTCAAAGGCAAATAGCTTGCAAGGATTGTCAAAATGGGTAAAGAAATAAAAGCAGAAGCACCAAGATCAAGGAAGGTCAATTGTTCTGACCAGGCTGCCGATTAGTAGTGATATCATTAAGCACATTAGCATTGCCATTTGCTAACACCTATGGCAGGCAACAAAGCCGTAGGCTGTGGGCCAACCACCCTAAGTGAAGCAGTATCTCACAGCTTCACAACTCTCTGGAGTATCTAATTGCCAGTATAAAACAGCTCATTTATGTGTTTACATGCACAGATAGAACATTCTTATGGCTATAAGAGTGCTCTGTGCACTCTTAAAGGCAGGAGAATCATGAAGTAAAACTGAGCAGCTCTGTCCTCAGGGTCTCAGAACTGCTCAGCTCTGCTGCATGATTCTCTCACCCCAGGAATACCCAAGATGCTCAACCATAAGAAAGTCCCACTTTAATATTAAAGCGAGTTTACTGCTCATTAAGAGGTGCCAGACTTCCCAAGCCCCCAAGCAAAAAAGCAAGAAAACAAACAAACAAGAACCCAACCCCGAGTCCTGTATTTCTCCACAGAGCTGAGATAGCACAGGTAGCTACAGGCTACTCTGCCTTATTCCACCACAGCACAGTAGCGCTTTCTGGACATATCGCCCCTCGGGGTTTGTGTTGTTATACTATGCACTTCAATAGACTATCTATTGTGTTACTAAGGGAACATCTATTGTGTAACTGAAGGGAAAAGAGCTCCATTTACCATGGTCCCCTAGGAAAAAAAGAAAATTAGGTAACAGGACCTCTTCTGGAAGTTCCTGTTTAATTTTAGCAATAAACTGTGTAATTTAGAAACTTATCTGCAAAGAAAACGTCTAGAGTCCTGACTTATTTCACAGGCAGGTGCTGAAGTGAAGTATGTGTTTGGGCCTACCTAGAGAAAACAAGAGAGGCTTTTCCACTGCTTGCTTGCAGGATGGATGCAAAAGAAGTTAAGACAAGCAGTTTTGAGCCAAGTTCGTAGCATACATGCTACTATGTAGTGACCGCTGTGTGAACGATCACACGAAGAGCTGAGTGCTGCAGTTTCAAATGTGTAGGAGCCCTTACTGAATGGAAATGCTTTCCTTACGCACTCATCGTCCACGTGGAATTTCCATGCAACTGCTAACACACTATAAATTTACAGCCTAACGTACAGCACACAAACTTGCCCATGGAGATGGGTCGCAAAGGACCAAACACTTGCTAAAGAAAGCTCAGTATCACCTTCTACGAGCATTTCGCTACATCACTGGGATCACACGGTCCACATACATTCTCATAAAAAAAAGTAAAATTAGAAATTTACATAAAAATAGGACATTAACCAAGAGACGCAACCTGCTCACTTGAAGGTTTCTATTACAACTCCAACTGCCACAGTTGGAATTTCAAGCCACAATTGGAATTAAATCTGGCAAGAGATGTTAAAAATAATAAGAGCTTTTTCAAATATATCAATGGTAAAAGGATGATTAGGCAAAACGTGATTCCGCTGGTGAACAGCATGGTTATGAAAGACACTGAAAAAGCAGTTACTGAATGCCTTCTTCACTTCAGTGTTTACCAAGGGCAGCCCTCTGGAATCCCAGACTCTAGAAACCAGAGAAGGTGCCTGGGGAGAGGAAGACTTGCCCTGGGTAGGGGAAGATTGGGTCAGAAGGCACTTAGGGAAACCTGACATCCATAAATCCATGGGCCCTGATGAGATACACCCAAGAGTGCTACAGCAGCTGGCGGATGTCACTGCTAAGCTGCCCTCCATCATCTTCGAAAGGTCCTGGAGAACGGAGGAGGTGCCAGAAGACTGAAAGAAAGCCAGTGTGATGCCGGTCTTCAAAAATGGCAAGAAGGAGGACTACAGGCCAGTGAGCCTCACCTCCATCCCTGGAAAACTCATGGAGCAGCTCATCCTGGCTGTTGTCTCCAAACATGTGGAGGAGAAGGTGGTGCTCAGGAGTAGTCAGCATGGATTCACCAAGGGGAAATCATGCTTGACTAACCTGAGAGACTTCTATGATGGAATGACCGGCTGGGTAGATGAGGGGAGAGTGGTGGATGTCATACATCTGAAATTCAGCAAGGCTTTTGACACTGTCCCTCACAGCATCCTCCTGGACAAGCTCCGGAAGTGTGGGATAGATGAGTGCACAGTGAGGTGGATTAGGAACTGGCTGGATGGCAGAGCTCAGAGGGTGGTGATCAGCAGTGCCAAATCTAGTTGGAGGCCTGTAGCTAGCAGGGTCCCCCAGGGGTCAGTCCTTGGTCCAGTCCTGTTCAATTTATTCATCAATGACCTGGATGAAGGCACAGAGTGCTCCCTCAGCAAGTTTGCTGATGATACCAAACTGGGAGGAGTAGCTGATACCCCAGAGGGCTGCGCTGCCATCCAGAGGGACCTGGACAGACTGGACAACTGGGCGGTGAAAAACCTCATGCCAGACTTCCTTCTTATTCAACTGAGCTCTAAATGTCTCTGCTAGAGGCAAAAAGCATATTTTTGGTTATCAGAATGTAAAAAAAAAAAAAGGAAAAAAAACTTAACAGTGTAATTAATACTACTCATGCAAAATTCTCACTCTTAAAAGAAGTGAGAAGTCTCTTCTGCTGGAGAGAGTCCAGCGCAGGGCTACAAGGATGATCAGGGGCCTGGAACATCTGCCCTATGAGGAGAGGCTGAGGGAGCTGGGCCTGTTCAGCCTGGAGAAGAGAAGGCTGAGAGGGGACCTGATCAGTGTCTATAAGTACCTCAAGGGAGGCAGTGAGGAGGATGGTGCTGGCCTCTTTTCACTGGTGGCCACCAACAGAACTAGAGGCAATAGCCACAAACTGAAACACCAAAAGTTCCACATGAACTTAAGGAAAAATTTCTTGACAGTGAGGGTGACAGAGCACTGGAACAGGCTGCCCAGAGAGGTTGTGGAGTCTCCTTCTCTGGAGATCCTCAAAACCCGCTTGGACGCAGTCCTGTGCCACGTGCTCTAGGTGACCCTGCATGTGCAGGGGGGTTGGACTAGATGATCTCTAGAGGTCTCTTCCAACCTTAACAGTTCTATGATTCTATGAACTGGGTCTCTGCATTTTAAGCATATACCACCAAGTATACAAAACTTACCCATTTTCTGGATTTTCTAAAATTTATAATTTTAATGCTAATTATTTAACGCCAAACCTATCATTGAATTCTACTAATCTTATGCTATCTTCACAGTAAGCTGTGGGAGAATTATTTTTCCAGCATTACAGAAGAATGGATCAAGAATACACTGCTGCAATTTCAGCAGCTGGAACTAGATGACATCGACAGGACAGAACCACCACTTTTCACTTTCTTTGAACAATATACTTTTGTTCTAGCCAACAGTTTAAGATATGGAAGACAGCCAGAAAGAAGGGTAGGGGTTATTTTCAAAGGCTCATAGAACTCAAAAAACTCCTAGTTACCTCCATATTTTTCCTTAGCTAAAATTCCTAAGGTTTAAGCCATAAAAACAAACATGTTTCATTATTAATACTGCAAAGTTTCCTTCTTTCCTTCCTGCATTGGTAAGAGCCTTCAAGAAACTGCCTTAGCTTAGAGAAACTTTCAACAACAAATTTATTCTCAAGCATAAGCAATTTCTATGCCAAAATATTGTATAAGACAAACAGTTAGGGTGAGGGAAAAGAGAAGTTTTGCTTCCTGATCATCTCAATTCAATCTGAATTTCAGAGCAACCAATGACATTGAAGAGAAAGTCAAAGAAGGCACAAAGACTTGGGGAAGGGAAGAATCAGAGACTAATACATTGCAAGATAAAAATAAATAAAGAGGAATCCAGAAGTCCAAAATCCCTGCTGTTAATAGCTAAATAGTTCTTATTTGGTCATTAGGAGTTTCCTAACTTACTAAGAGCACTCACTGACCATTTCAATATTCATGACATATTTTTCTTTCTCAGACAGTAAGAAGCTATATTTTTAATCATGCACAGGTACATAGCATTTCAGAACTCCAAAAATTGTATTAAAATAGACTAGTAATACTAAGATTTTTTACAATACCTTATGGGGCCCCTACCATCCCCCCTGCCCCATATCCACATATAGCCAACATAATATTAAGTCTGCAACACTATCTTCCATTATGGAAAGTGTCTTGAAAAGTATTCTCTAAAGGCTTCATTAGCTGAAGAAATAACCATGCAAGGAGAAGCTGGTATTATATGTTCTGACATTCCCACCACCTGTTAATATGTTAACAGGAGAGGAGGGGAAAAAACACAGAGGAATGACTGCTTCATTACTTATAATACTAATTGCTGCTGTATTTTTATCTTCTTTTTGCATCACGTATTGCTTTCAGTTGCAGATATGAGTAGCACTCATCCAAAAGCCTATAAGCTAAATCGCAGAGATCCTTTCCTTACCTATACAGGATTTTTTCTTTTTTTTTTTAGTATTATTAATCTTATGAAGATATTCTTATTAGATTGTAGTATCATAACTACTCATACCACGTACTAAAAATTTTCTGGCACAAGTATATAAGAACTATATTCAAGTGTGTATTAGTAGTGTTATAAGACTTGTATACTTGATGAAGATCTTTAGTAGGGACCACCAAAAAAATAAGTAACCTTGTTAGAAGCGATGGAAAAAATGGGTTGGAGGCAGTGTTATAATTAATTACTAATTGAAGCAAACTAAGAATTTTGAGAAATGATGCATTGAATATGGTGCTACATTTAAAAAGAATGCACTAAATGCAAACATATTGGTACACAGCATGTTTTAACTTACACTCTTTTGATTCAACTTATTCAGACTGCCATGTTGATCAACTTGACTAATATTATCAGCCCCCAGCAGTACAGGTCATAGCAAGCTCTTTTGCAACACAGACCTGACACAGAAATAGACACAGGAAATTCTGTAATTTGGGCTACTGGTTCTCGGTCTTTTGGTAAAAACTTTCCCTTTGCCAGGTTCTTACCCCTCTTGCATTGCAACCCCATCCAGGTTCCACCTACCTGTTATCCTGTGCCCATGGATAACTGAAGCTAGACTGAGAAAAGATCATCACACGCTACCAAAATGACCATAGCCTGGACAACCATAGGGCACAGTGTTTGGTGGCTCTGAAAGTAACAGGATGATAATTTTTTTTTTCTCTTTCAGATTTGTGGAAGCAGGGAATGGCTGTTGGTCACTGTATTAGCAGAAAGCTTAGACACTGATGGGGGGCTGACACCATCCTCACCCCATTTTTGATGCTTTCTCACTTGTGCACTGAAGGAAGGACATTGCTGTGGTCATGGCAGAAAGGTGAGGAAAACCTGAGCAGATTCCCATGGAGCCTTAGCCTCTGCAGACTGTAAGTAAGAAGAAGGGACAGCCCAACCTCACTGTGAGAGAACTGGGAAGTGAAGATGGCACCCACTCAGTCCACTTACAAGCATCACACGAAATCTGCTGGAAGCAGAAAAGCAAAGCCCCTCTCAGACTGGTAAACACTAAGCTAATCCATCCTATTTTCCAGTTCTTCACATCTGTTCCAAGTCTATTCTGACCTCAGTGAAATGGAGAAGTGTTTCCAGACTTTCTAGAGATTTGATATATGCCAGCAAAATTGAAAAAGAAATGTATGCAGGACAAGAGAGAGAGTTGGTGTAGGTGGAGACCGTTTCCTACGGATCCCCTTTCCAGTCAAAGCCTCAGCTTTGCGCTGCCAACTGGAGACAGAGCATCACACTTTTTCATAATGCCTTCTCTCAGCAAGTTTTGTGCTGTCAAATACCAGCCTCTATAAAAGTAACACTTGCCTAAATACATTTAAGTGTTCATCTCTGGCTGGGGAGGAGAGTGGAGACGAAAAGCTCATAATCCTAACGTGACAAAACAGTAGTAACGGTTCTGTTTCATTTTACACAGGAGGTACCATTAAATTACGCCACAGCACATATTTTACTATATCTAAATCTGTATAAATATTTGTAAGCATATTTACTCAGTAGTTTCTGTTGCTTAAAGGCTTCTAAATTTGCCAGACATTTTTACTTAAAACTCTCTTAATTAGAGACTGGTAGTCAGATAGATATTCCTAGATTATAGTGGAGACAGAGGGCATAAGAGGAACACAGCAACAAGCATTAGTGGGAAGATTTATATTAATAGAAGAAAAAAGTAGTATTTAAATGATCAATGAGAGGAAACAGTCCATCAACAAATCCTTGGATTCATCTAGCAGCAATGGGGGGCATTCACTCTTGTCTCTGAAAAGCCAGAATTCCATCTAATTATTAAGAAGCTTCTGCACACTGTACTGAACAAAAAGCTTTAGGAAAAGCTTTTAACATCATCTTAGTATTTCTTCTCTATGCCCAGAAACATTCTCATTTCTGTCACTAACTGGCAGGCTGGGAAGAACCAGCAATGAACATCTGATTTTGTGCTGTGCAATACAGCATACAGAATGACAAGTACCTTCTAATATGACAAGGCATAACAATACTATAAGAAGGCAGGAAGTTTCAATCAGCTTCAACACTCCCATAAGCAGTGGATAGCATCTATGGGTGATCCACATCACAATTCCCGTAAAATCCCAACAGCTTACAAATATTTGCATCGTCTGGAATAAAGTGAGCACGATCTACCCTACCTTGATGCTTTCTTTTGGAAATAGCAGCTCATGTTACACTTACGTATAGGCAAGCAATTTAAAAACAAAACAAAACAAAAAAACCCACAAATGTAGCCCTTTCCGAAGCATTGACCCACACTTTGAGGTACAGGTCAGATTTATACTGTTAAACAGTAGACAGATAGCAGACACACAGAAGTTTAAATCAACAACTTTGCAGATGCAGTAAAATTTAAGAGTGACAAGACTTGTTTAGCTCTAACCAAAAATAGGTGAAAAGATTGTTACTAATACATGTATAGAGGAAGAGGCAGAGAAGAAAAGGTTAAAGTGAAAAGAAAAACTATAAGAACACACAAAAGCATAAAGCAACTCCAAGTGAATTCAGGGTAGAAATATGAAGGCTTCCAGCTATGAAACTGTGAAACCGATCAAAGCTGAGGGGTCAAAATATTCATCTCGTCTCATGCTGGAGCTCAAAACTTTATGACAGGAGCCTCTCCCCCGCTCTTGCTGGGACAGCCTCCGGGTCCCAGCCCTTGCTGTGCCTGTGCTGCCAACCACACACGGGCAGGGACTGGCCCCTGGCTGGGCCAGACTCACTCCTGCTCACTTTGCTCAGGGCTCCGCCAGGGTTGCACAGCACTGGGCCCTGGGGTTCCTCAAGGCGCCCTATCAGCAGCCCCACTAATCTTAATTTTGTATGTTTCAGTTCAAAGTGCATAAAGAAAGAGGGCTGTGCTGCAGCCCAGCAGAGTGGTATTTTTAAAGCATGGAGCAAAATACGCATTACATATCCCCTGGTGTGGCCTGAGGGAGAGAGGGAGGAAGGGAGGGGAGCTAAGCATCGTGGCTCAGCAGGCTTTGCACTACAGGCCTAAGCAGGATGGAGGGCACCACGGCTGGACTGAGCAACTGCCAGGCTTCATTCTGGAGCAAGTGGCTTGGAGGGGTCCCAAACAGGCAGCATGTGAGCTACTGGCTATGCCCAACATGCAAGCATTGCGTGAAACTATTTGGTATTTGGATCCACCCCCAGCCCTTTCCTCTAGGAGGGCAGATGCAAGTAACAGCTCTGGAAGAGATCTTCCAGATTAGTGTGGTGGCACATGCACAAACAGCATCAGCTTTATCTAATAAGCTACACTGCAGCTCTAGTGATGAAGGTGCCAGCATTTTATGATAAGTTAATGGAGTTAACAGTAAGGCTGTAGCATCTCTGAACAAGCTAGACAGGAAAAAAAAATAAAAGCAAGGATAAAAAGGAAAAGCTCAATTTAGAGAAATGCTGTGATGATTAGCACAAATGGAAAGAAAAACATGACAGTTTAATGAGATTTTAGCAGCCATCCTATATGTCTCTGAATCTAGCACATTTTTTCATGTAGAAGACTTTTTAATATATACTTGTCTGGTCTGTCAACTGTGCTATCAAGATTAATACAAACCGCTAGAGTTTAAGTGATCTTGGAATCACAAAAGCAGTCCTTTATTCATCACAGCAGACACTGTATGTTACAAAGCTGTGATTTTTTTTTTTTTTAAATGAGTTGAAGACTAAGTTCCTTAGCAGAGAAAGGTAGTGGTTAGACCAATTCCTAGAGAATAGCTCATCTCTGCATAAACTGTTTGGTTAGCACATTTTTAAAAACCATAACATTTTACTTGCTAGAACACTCCACCTCTTTCGGTATCAGTGTTGACTAATATCCAAAAAAAAAACAACAAAAAACACATCAACCAACATCAATCTCATGCCATCCTATGCAGAAGTCAGTGTTAACTAATATCCAAAAAACAAACAACAACAAAAAACACATCAACCACCATCAATCTCATGCCATCCTATGCAGAAATTCCTCACAAGTCTATACTACTTTTAAACTGGGCATTTTAGATTTGAGTGTATTTCATGAGATAGTGCTCATTTCCTTATCCTGTAAGTGATGGGCAGACATATAAAGCTGTGCCTTCATTATGAGGTCCAAAAAGCTAATCCTGCAACAGTTACAAATGAAACTGGTGCCTTAGCTCAGGTAAAACTCTTAAGACTTAAACTATTTAAGACTTGAAATTTGGCACTCGCTGGCCCTTGTACCAGAAATATATCTCTTAGGATAATTAATATGAAACTGTCCCAAATTTAAGAGTTAGCCAAGGAGGTTTTAAAACAAGTTGCTAAACTTCACAACAACAAAAACATCAGGATTATAAGAAATCAAATATGAAACTGTTGAATTATGTGCTGAACTACGGCATATAATCTTTCACTTCACTGCTATGGGAAAGCAGAAAACAGTATGAGGCCCTCGAGTAACACAGGGAACTTAAAAACTAGTGAAATCTAAATTCTGTATTAGACAATTCAGTAAAAATTGGAAAAAAAAAATCAGTTCTCAGGGTTCTTGTTTTGCAACTCTTCTCTGCCACTCATGATCCCAGGACAAAAGAACTCTCCATTTTCCAGTTCCTTGAGCTCCAGGTATGGTGGTCTCACCCAATACAGGTTGAGTAGCAGCTGATATGGAAGCTGCTATTTCCATACCCTACATTCACTTGTGGAAGAAGTGAGTCAAGAGAGGACATGTTCTTCCCTTCCTTATCAAGCCTAACTATGGTTCTTCCCCAGAATCAGCTATCTTGCGCCACAGGCAACAGCTCTCCACTCTATTTTGTGTCCACAACGACCACCTTAGCTCTGGAGTTTCCCACAAGCACTGGACTTTGCAAGTCTTGTACAGGTAATTTAAGCCCAATTATTTGTTTTGCACCTATATGATCTTAGTAATTTCTGTGGAGATAAACACACAAAAGTAACATTATCTACACACTGCAATTGTGTTCTAATGAGTGTTATACCTATAATCCAAATGCCTAATGACTTAGGAACATGCTTCACAAGGAAAACCTTCACACAGACTGATTTCACCTATTTTCAGAATCGTGATTTTTATTCTGATGTTCTATGTACATGCACATTAACAGAATCAGCTGAGTGGAAGAAAACCTGATCAGTGTTTTGCCAGCTGAGCTCACACATATGCAGACATCATAAGCCTCACCTGTCAGCCACAAGAAGCCTTACCATAGGGATATTTCGTGTCTAGTCTGTGTGCTGCTGTTCTTGTCCAGGGTAGTACATCATCACTGCAGCCATTAGGCATCCCATTGTATCCAATTCCAACAATCTTGTTTTCTGAATTTACAATGCAAGCACCAACCTAAATAAAATAAGATTCATATAGTACCAACAGCATGCAAAACAACACATCAACAAGAGAGGTGAAACCTGAAACTCTCACAAGTGATTCAAGCTTCACCTATATGAAGCCACACCATCTAGTGAGCTGGGCTACTGTTGCATCCAACCGACAGAGCTTCAAAATAATCCCTAGTTCTCTCTGGTCATGAAATCCCAGTCCCCTCCAGCCAGCACTGTTCCTTGGCTGATTATGAAGCGAGTGAGTTAGGGGAGCAGAGCTAACACAAACTTAACCCTACTAAGCACAGGTTTTGTCAGTTCAGCTCCCTGAACCATCTTTTCCAGCACTAGCAGTAAGAGGAGCAGCAGTGTAAGAAAAGGGATGGAAGATGAAATAGGAATATTAGTATTAACATAAATAGGAATGTTTTAGCTCCAGTAGGCTTCTCTGCCTTGTTTTAGCTAATATGCACTAAAATACTAGACCTTAAAACTTTCACACCTTATTATTCTAGCCCAAGTCTGCACTATGACTTTCCTTTTAGAATTGAGTGTCCTGCTTCCTGTCTGTATTTTAGTTAGGTGAATTAAAAATCAATTCTATTGCCATTTCAATACAAGTAATAGATGGATTAAACAGCCCTCAAGTAAAAAAAATAGCCCTAAATGAATAAGCTTTAAAGCAATTAAGAGCCATGATGTATAGAAGTCAGCAAGTAACTGAGAGCAGACTGTCAACATGCATTTTACTGCACTGCTTTGTTAGGCTTTTCTTCCGGAACTTTTTTCCACAGAAAGGAAGACTGACAGGAGCACTGGCCCTGGAGAAGGCCATATTTCAGGAAAATACATGTAAAGCACCTCAAACACCTCAAAGCACCTCATATTCAAATGCAATGAACACACTCGTGAAAGCAGTGAAGGATGGAAACAGTGAATGGGAAGAGAAGGGAGGACCTAAACTAGAAGGAAACTTAAGCAACCCAGAAAAAAGAGAGAAGTTTTATACTGTCTTAAAGGTGCTGAAAAGAAACTTGAGACCCAGATTCTCAGATTATAAATATTATCTAATGCTTTCTGTAATTACATCCTCCTCAAACAATAACTGTATTTGCTAGGAAAAAAAAAGAAAGAAAATGAATGTGTTATTTTAAACTTTATGTGAAGAGCAGATTTACAAAACTTTGAGCTGCAAATGTACACATGCAAGTTCAGACCCAGTAAGAGGATTTCTGTAAAAAAAGGTGCTGACCATGTTAGAAGTTGAATAGCTATATACTGAAATAACTTTTAGTAAGAAATCCCCCAAATTGCTACATGCAATATAGATTATTTTATGCTACTCTTATATACTTCCTTCTTACCTGAGAATTTGGATCCTTACTTCTTTGTGCTGACAAAAAAGCAACTGCCATGAAATATTCAGGCCACTCCAAATAATCCTCTCTTTTTCTGCAGGGTATTTCATTGCCAACCCTACAGTTTATGGGGAAAAAAAAAATCCATTAGCAAAGAACACTTAGCAAGAGATATTACAGATTGCATTCTCTTGGTATGGAGAAGTTTTGTTTTTTTTTTTTAAAAAAAAAGACGTAAAAGATATTTTTTTTGCATCAGAAGATACTAGGATCCAGGTCTGACTCTCAAGAAATTATTAAAGACGGAAAGTAGGTAAATATGAAAGACAGAATCAAACTGCTGTCAATATGAAGTAACCAGGATAGGAATTTGGCCAGAAGACTATGTTTTACTGCTAAACTATTGGTGAATGCAATCAATGTGATATCCTTGCCAAGAACCTACATGCAACCTTTCAAGAGAAAGGCACCCAAATGAGGTTGCAAATTTCAGTTTAAGATAAGACGAGTGAGCTATTTAAAGCACTGAGCTAGTCAAAGACAGATCAATTTATCCTTGATAGAAAACACCTTGTATATTTGTTAGATTCTGATATATCACACACTGGCATTCTTTCCACTCAAACAGCATAACCTTTTTATGACGACTGTGCTAATTGCAAGTCTCTAATCTAGGCTATTTTGTACTTTCGCTTACAACAAGGACTTACTGGACTTCTGTTTGGAAGCTTCCCACGTGGTCATTCATCTTCACCCGCACAATTATTGCCACGAATTTGCCTCTCTTACAGCACTTATGGGCAACAACCTGGGCTGTAAGTCATCCTGATGGCCCTCAGAGCACCTGCTGCAAGGGCTGCCCAGCTACCACCACCCACTCGATGATCCATCTGTGTCCTCAGGAAGACTAAAGGGCTTTCACAAAAAATAAGCAGGTAAAAAGGCCTTTAATATTGTATTTAAGGGATATGTTTTGCTGTGTATCTCTCTGCTGAAGTTTCACCTTCTTCCTTCTCCTCCCCACCATGTGATTTTAAAACAAATGAGAAGACAACAAAAGAAAGGCAGAGGTGGCTATTAACAGAGGAAAACAGAACTCGATGATTCATTTATTAAGGCTTCACAGTGCTCAACCTGGACACAAAGTATCACAACAGCAGCACAAGTACAACAGTAACTAGCTCTTCCACCTCAAGAATGTCTCTTTTAAAAACTCACAGCTAAGTTTCTCTTGAGATTTTGCCCCTTTGTGCAAGTCTTCTAAAAACCTGAAGAGATGGGTCCAAGAAGGAACTTCCCCTGTAGATGAAACATGTAAGAGTAGCACAGAAAGTTGTTTCTTTTCCCATATTGGGGGTTGCATTCTGGCGGAAGGGAGGGAGAAAGCAAAACCACCTTCTCTTGCCTACTTATGGTTGACAAGACAGTTTGGAGGGCAGAAGACACATAGCACAGGAAGCTTCTGTGCTTTTCTCTTCAAATAGGGGGAAAACAAGATGTAAATCCCTCCCCTCAAACATTTATATAACTTTTAAAGAAGAGATCAAATCCAAAGAAACGCCACCAAAAATCTCATTGCTCATTTGTATGCTGTAGAACATCCCAAATACAATAGAAATGTAAGCAATGCATTACTTTTCTTCTTGGGCTCCTCTCAGCAAGAACTACAGCGTAAGGCCCCTTAGGAAAAAAGGTGGAGAGACTGCGATACCTTCCAGCAATGTACAGCCATGCAGAAAAATACCACAGGTAACAGCACGCAGCAAGATAGCAGCTCTAGTACCAGGCACCTTCTGAATAGAAGCATACCTTAGAGGACAAGTATTTTTCTTAATTATTACTTTTATAACAACAACAACAAAAAGATGAAAAGTCTGTAGTAGAGGATTTCGGTTAGCCTTACTTTCATAAAGAGATTATGCTGCCGGACTGGACTGAATACCAATATGTGATAAAACTGAACTTTAGAAACGTATAAAGTGCTACTTACCTAAGATAAATTGCTCTGTCTCAGAATAACTCAAATATTGGCTATTACAAGTAAGGAATTTTGTCTTGTTCTTGAAATGAGTTATAGTTATCGTTGAAGCCATGTTTTCAACGTACGGAAGGAGAAAATAGACATTCTGCAAACTAGCACACACTTTCACACACTTGCAAAGAGCCAAATATTGCCAACCATCAAAGCAAACACAAAGGCCAAATATATGATTCTGGGACCAAAAATGGCTTGAGACATCCTAACAAACAAATTGTGACTGTATCCTCCTAAGCTGTGCTAAATTGTGCTAAATCTAACACACAGTACAGCCTACACCAAACAAAACATTCTGGGAAAAGCCCCTTTAAAAATCCAGCAATGCTCTGAACTAAGAGATCCTGAGATCTCCTTTATTAAATTATTCCCTAGGAACCCTATCTGTTCAAAAAACAAGAGCTACTATTTACTTTTCTTGTAAATGCAGCATTGTGTGTAAATGGAAGTCCCTCAGAGCACCAACTTCACAGGAAAAGTAGATTATCTGGAAAAAAAAAAAGGCCTACATCAAGAAGAAGTGTGTGTGTGTGTGTGTGAGGGTTTATAAAATAAACCCTACCTACTTTTACTTAACATCACCACATTTGGCTAGATAATTTGCTGAACTCAATGTGCAGGAACACAAGAACATGTAATGGGTATAAAACATAAATCATTTCTGACTGAGCAGAAGTGAAGGGCCAGCAGTCAAGCAGGTACTGAAAAATTAAGTTTATAAATTTTAGGCAGGTGATCGGCTTCCTTACCCTCATCTGTAACATCCAGAGCTCCATGAATAAAAGCTGTTTTCAGAAATATCATAAATAGTTGTAAATTGTGCAAATGAGGCTTATCCTTATGTTAGTTCATAATAATTTACGAAGAATTTATGAATTTGACCATTAAAAGGGTAATTTGATAAAAATGATTGCAATCAAAAGCCATGAAGGTAACATTGTTTAAGGAAGAAGGAAAAAAACCTCTCAAATTCTAAAATGTTTAGTAGTCTGAATAAAAGTCTGCATAAGTAATATTTCAAAGGCGAACATAAAAAAAAAAAGCTTCTGGAATTAAAGGACAGTGCCTCCCTCCTCAGCTCCTTTTTATCTACCTAGCTTTCAAGTAAAGCATAATAACTGAAAAAAGCAAGAAATCTCATTTAGTTAATAAAAAGCAGAGTGTACCATAATGAAAGTTTTAACTGAGAATCCTAAAGTAGAATACATCACCTAAAATCTTTTTGGAGGGACTTATGATGGTCAGTTACATAACCATTTAGTACAACTGGAGCAGACTAACCCCCTCTATAACTCTTTAAAAGCTTCTCCCTCTGACATCACGTGTAGTATGTTCCAACTGTATTATATTATTATTTTTTCCAATACCGTGTGTATTTCCTGAAGATCAACTATCAATATTGTCCCTCAACTCAATGAATTTCAAGTAAAAAAAGGAAAAGGCATATCATGTACTAAGGGAAAAAAAAATGAGGGGATAGAATTTCAATGCTAGTTCTTTCCTTAAGCATGGTTGTTTTGTTTCTAATCACTGTTCAAATGGGTATGTGATTTCCTTTACTTATCCTTCCTCTCATGCAGGTACTGTGGTACAACCACTGCACAGTCCTTACTCCAAAGAAGGTTTTTTTTGTTTGTTTTTTTTTTTTTTTTGAGTGTGGGAAGGAGGAAGGGAACCTTTCTTACAGAAAAGTGATATCCTCTGCATTGAAAATTAAATACACCCAGCTCTTCCACGATATAACCTAAAAAAAAGTAACCATAAACACTTTCTAGCAATATTCAGGCCCAATCGAGTAGCACAATAGTCTCCTTCACGGAATGTATTTTGCTTTCGAAGTATTACTTCCGCGATTTTAATTAATTTCTTGCCACCGTCTTCAATGGGGGACATAAGTACTTTAACAGACCCTTCCTGCTCTTTCTCTACCCCAAATACTAAAAAACAGGTGTGTGGGGGGGGAGGACCAGGAGCCTTTCTG